AATCATTTGCTCTAGAGAAAGCTGGATGCTGTGGCATGAAGACACTGAGGGAGCTCTGTGGAGAGGCCCCTGTGGTGAGGAAACTTAGCCTCCATGAACATGTGAGTGAATGGGCCACCTTGGAAGATGCTCCCACTCTAGGCAAGCCTTTATTTATTTATTTTTCAATGGTTTTATTTATTTATTTGAGAGTAAGAGAGCACCTAAAGCTCCAAGCGCAACCTGGAGGGGCTGAGGCCGAGGGAGAATCCCAGGCAGGCCCCATGCTGAGCGCGCTACCTGGGGCTCCGTACAGTGACCCCGAGATCACAACCTGAGCAGAAATCAACAGTCAAATGCTGAGCAGACTGAGCTACTCAGGCCCACCCCCACCCCAGCCAGGCCTTTCGGTGACTTGGTGTTCGAGCTGACAGGAGATTCCCTGACTGGAACCACCCGGCCAAGTTGCTCCTGGCTTCCTGACCCACAGAATCTGTGAGGTCATAGATATTTGTTTTACGTGTCTGAGTCTGGGGATAACCTGTTCTACAGACCTTGGTAGCTAGCACATCAGCTGTGTGATGCTGGGCGAGTTCCATAGGCTCTGAACCTGGGTTCCCTCCCTCGGGCCATGAGGAGAATAGAAGTAAGTGAGAAACAGGTGAACTGTCCCAGGCCAGGTGGAGCACGGGCCAGGTGTGCCATGAGGGCTCCCCACCCACCCTAGGCCGTGTACCCATGGCCCCCTCCCAGGGTGGTTATGGGCATCCCCCTGTTCTTCCCTGGGTGGAACATGACCTCACAATGTCAAGCCAAGCATTGCATTCTTGGCCTGGGGTCACCCTTCCACTGGTCAGGGGCACCAGGCAGGGGAGGGAGAGAGAAGAGCCAGGGGCTCCGTCTCTCTTTCCTCCAGCCATCATGCCCATGACCTGTATGGGGCCAGGTGAGTCCATGTCTTGCCCCTGCTGCCCACTGTTCTGGGATCCACAGCCAGACCTCAGCCATGGCAGGGGTACCTGGCCTCTCTCTGGGCGAGACGGGGCCTGGCCCAGCTTTGGGAGGCCCACCTGCTGTCGAGGCCCCATGAGAACTGTGTACTGTCCTTGTTCCTCTTTCTGCTTCTCCCTGCCCTGTCCCCGCTGCCCACTCAGCTGCTAGGCCAGGGCCAGGGTCTGCCTTCTCCCCTCACACATTCCCCTGCTCCACCTGCTGCTCCAGTGGGCTCAGCATTCCTGACAGGTACTTCCCCCTCCCCGTTTCTCTGTGAATTACTGCAGAACCACCCAGTCATGCTGGTGTAAGTGACTCCAAAACAAAAACTCAAGACCTCAGTTCCCATTGTGTGATCTTCCCCTTCACTCTCTCGTTAGACCTTTACCCTTTTCTTTCCAGTAGCTGCATCGAATTCTCCAGGATGAACTACTGTAATTTATTTTACCATTCTGTGTTGATAGACATTTTGATTCTTTTTTGTTTTTTGTTTCCCCTTCAAGTTAAGCCAGTTTCTTGCTCAGGTTTTTTTTTTTTTTAAGATTTTATTTATTCGTGAGAGAGAGAGAGAGAGAGAGAGAGAGAGAGAGGCAGAGACACAGGCAGAGGGAGAAGCAAGCTCCATGCAGGGAGCCCGACATGGGACCCGATCCCAGGTCTCCAGGATCATGCCCTGGGCCAAAGGCAGATGCTCAACCACTGAGCCACCTAAGTATCCCCAGAATCTCTGTTCTTATCCTGGGATTTCTCCTCATAATCCATTGAAAACTGCACCTTTTCCCCAGGCACTGGTTTTCTTTCTTCCTCATAGCACTTACTACCTTCTCACATCCAATAAGATTTACTTGTCTCCCCTGCCCTGCCTCCTGCCTGTGGCATCGAAGTTCCGCGAGAGCAGAGATTTTTCTGTTCTGTTCGCCAGGAAATTGCCAACATCCAGCACAGTGCTTTGCATGAGGGGAGACTGAACCCATACATGCTGAGGAGACACATCCTGGGACTTCCCTCCATCCCCTTCCTGTGTGGTTGGTTTCTTCCTGTTAACTGGATCTCACGTCTACTTCTTTCTTGATTTACTCTGTCACTTGGTGGAGCACATCCATTAGTAACTTTCTGAGAAAGGTTGCTCTTGGTGTGTACATATATTTTTTAGACTCTAAAGCTATGTATCTATTTACAATTGCATTTAGTGTACTGTCTGGCAAATTTCACTTGTAAGATGGTGATAAATGCTAAGTACCTCATAGGGTTGTGATGAGAATTAAGTAAAAATGGTTAGCATTCTCTGAGGAGGATATTATTACTCTGTGAGGACTAAAATCAATACAAAAGAAGAGTTTCTTGGGAGGTGTTGAATGCAGTGGCCAAGAGCAGGGCTGTGGTGCTGTCAGGGCTGGTTCTGAGCTCTGTGCTCTGTGACCTAGTAAGTCTACAATTGAGAGTAGGCAGGGCACTAAAGCCTCAGTTCCTTTCTGTGAGAGAGGGGAATGGTCACAGTTACCTACTGCTCACAGGGCCATCGTGGGCAAAATCAGATGTGCCTTTAATCTGTAGTAAGGGATAATGTTCCCGTGTTCCCGAGCATTGAATGTGGCTTGGTGTGGTGGCAAGAGCTCCACCTTGACCTTGTCTTTGTGTTCACTGAGGGTTAGTGTCTGGCGTGGGGTAAGCAGTTGGCGATTTGCAGCCTGTATCTAAAGTCCCGAGAGGGATCCGTGCACTTTGACCCACCGGTTCCATCTGCTGAGAATTTATCCTAAGGAAAAAAAGGTGTGCCTGAATTTGAGTGCAGGGCCTTGTTTACGAGAGGTCCGGGAACCACTTGAATGTCAGGAGGGAGCTTGATCAGTACGCGGATCTCTAAGCCATAGGCTTCCTCCAGCGCGGGCCTCTGCATCCTTCACAACCCGGGAAGATGGCAGGCAGATGTCAGGAGAGCTGTATGGAATAGAGGATGATGCATTGCTAAGTCAAAAAAGTATCAAAACTGCAGAAGCCCTTTTGGGGAGTAGAACTTATATTTGCCCTTTTTTTTTTCTTACTGTTCTTTAAGTTGCATACATATACAGAGGACTGGAAGCCTCATGGTCAAAGCATAACCTCTGGCATACAGGTATCGAGGTCCTGGTTCTGGCACTGCAGGACCTGGGGCAGTTTACAGAACTTCAGTGTGTGTCAGCTTCCTCATCTGGAAAGGGGGCAACTAGCAGGCATGCTTCCTTAGGGATTAGGCATGAAAATTCTGTATTTACTTCTTTTAAAAAAATATTTTATTTGTTTATTCATGAGAGACACACAGAGAGAGGCAGAGACACAGGCAGAGGGGAGAAGCAGGCTCCATGCAGGGAGCCCCGACCTGGGACTCAATCCCTGGTCTCCAGGATCACACCCCGGACTGAAGGTGGCGCTAAACCGCTGAGCCACCGGGGCTGCCCTTGTATTTACTTTTTAAAAAATATTTATTTATTTATTTATTTGGGAGAGTGCACACGCACAAGCAGAGGCCGGGAGCAGAGGGAGAAGCAGACTTGCTGTCACAGGGAGCCAAACAGGGGGCTTGATCCCAGGATCCGGAGATCAGATGCTTCACTAAGCCACCCAGGTGTCCTTAGCCATGAAAATTCCTTAGTGATGGATCAACGTTAGCAGCTATCACTGCTGTTCAAGAAATAAATTCTAGTTTGTGGACTTATGGGTTCGTTTACCTAATTCTCTGTATTGTGTAAATCGTTATTTTTGGGACGTCTGGGTGGCACAGTGGTTGAGGGTCTGTCTTTGGCCCAGGTCGTAATCCCGAGGTCCTGGGATCAAGTCCTGCTTCAGGCTTCCCATAGGGAGCCTGCTTCTCCTTCTGCCTATGTCTTTGCCTGTGTCTCGTGAATAAATAAATATTTTTTTTAAAAATTATCTTTAAAAGTAAATACGTATTTCGTTGGAAGTAGAAAAAAGGTTATTTAAAAGTATGTGAGGTTGAGGTAACAAAGATGAGTGTGATTTTTGTCTGAACAACACGTTACAACAATGTGAATGCACTGAATGCCACGGAACTGTACGCCTGGCTTATGCTAAAATGGTTAGGGTGGAGGGGCGCCTGGGTGGCTCAGGTCATGGTCCCAGGGGTCCTGGGATCCAGTCCCACATGGGGGAGGGGTTGCTCTCTGCGCAGAGGGGGTCTGTGTTTCCTTCCGTGAGTCCCTCCCCCTGCTTGTGCTATCAAAAATTTTAAAATATATTATTTATTCATGAGACACAGAGAGACGGAGGCAGAGGGAGAAGCAGGTTCCATGCAAGGAGCCGAACGCGGGACTCGATCCCGGGACCCCGGGGACACGCCCTGGGCCGAAGGCAGGCGCTTAACCTCGGAGCCTCCCGGGCTGCCCCCTCTATTAAATATTTTTAAAAAATGGTTAAGGTGGTAAAGTTTATGTGTACTTTACCACAACTACGAAAACGTAAGCATAACGCTAGCATCATTAACAAGTGCAGAGAAATTCGGCATCCTCGTCGTCATCAGGAAAGCACCGAAGGCGTCCGTGCGGCGGGCCGCGATGCGACGGGAGCTTTCCACCTCCTAACGTGATTTCATGGCCCGAGTTTCCGTCGTGCACGCTTGTCAGTCTGGTGAGCCGCCAAGTTGTGTCTGGTAATGTCCGCGCAGAGCCGCGTCCCGAGCCCGGCCCGCCCCTGCCCCGGGCGTGACCTTGGCCCGCTCAGGGCCCCCCAGCCTCAGTTTCCCCGGCGGGCGCCGGGGATGACAGCTCGCCCCGTCCCCCGCCCCGCCCTCCGGCCCCGGGATTGGCTCGCGCCGGCCGCCCCCCCTCCGAGGCGGGGCCGGGCCGCTCCCGCCCGTCGGGCCCCAACCCGGAAATGCGGCTCGGGGGCACCGGCGGGGCCGACGGAGCCGCGGCGGAGCGACGGCGGTCGCGGCCAATGGGCGCTCGCGGCGGCGGCGGAAGTCCCGCCCGGCGTCGCGCGGGGGCGGGGCGGCGCCGGGGGCGGGGGGCGGCGGGCGGCGGGGCGGGCGCAGGATGAGGGCGGCCATTGCTGGGGCTCCGCCGCGGGGAGGAGGACGCTGAGGAGGCGCCGAGCCGCGCAGCGCTGCGGGGGAGGTGCCCGCGCCGACGCGGGGCCCATGGCCAGGACCACCAGCCAGCTGGTGAGTGCGCGCGGGCCGCCCGGACGCGCCGGCCCGTCAGCCAGTCAAGCGCGGCGGCGGTCGCCGGGGCCCGGCGAGGCGGGGCGGCCCCGGGTCCCCAGGGCCGGGCGGCGCCTCACCTGCGGCCGGGCGGCCGGGCCGGGGACCGCGGGCTCCGTGAGGGCGCCGCTCGGCCGCGGTGGGGAGCCCGGGCCCCGGCGGGGCGGGCGCCTGCCCGGCGGGGGCGCTGACAGACGCGCGGAGGGCGGGGGAGGTCGGGGAGGTGTCATTGGCCTGTCGCGGTGGAAGTGCTCGGAAAGTTTGTTTTCGGAGCGCCGCGGCCTGGAGCCGAGCCCCCGGGCTTACCTTTCGCTCCGCCCGCGGCGGACCCGCCCCGGGCCTCCCCCTGGAAGGGCGTCCCGGTGCCTCCGCCGCGGCGAAGCGGGAGGGACGCGCTCTGTCTCGGAGCACCTGATGCTCCAGACCGCCCCCCCCCCCCCATTCACGGTCGGAGGGGAAGCCGGCGACTCCGTCCGCGGCCTGGCGGGGCGGCCCTGCGTGCTTTTCCTGCCTCGGGGCTCTTCTCCAGCGCAGGCATCAAGTGTGGGAAGCCCCGGGGAGGTCGGGAGGTCGGAAGCTGCTACGGAGGGCAGAACGATCGTGACAGGGAGGAGGGATTGCAGGGGGGGAGGAGGAGGAGGAGGAGGAGGAGGAGGAGGAGGAGGAGGAGGAGGAAAAGAGCTTGTGGGGTGGAGTGTTTTGCTTAAAAGTATCGCTAGTGTTTCCCTGGTTTTTTTTTTTCTTTATCTGTTGCTAAAAGTATCCTTGGTGTTTTGATGTTTGCACTGTGTTTGATTTTCGGAGTCGCGAAGGTGGTTTCGGGATTAATACCTCTGGAGCGACTATGAGAGTGGGTGATGGGAGGATGCCTGCGCAGCTTGCAGAACTCGGTTCAGAAGGCAAATCAGAAACACTTAAGTGAGCGAAGGCCCTGGAAACTCACCTGACTCATTTTTTCAGCATATACAGCGTTGTGGCAGCAGTTCTTAATCCTTTTGGGGAGTCTGGAACGCCTCTGAGAATCTGATGGAAGGTGTAAATTCTCTCCAGAGGAAAACACTGAGTTACTCGCGTTTTGTAATTACTTTAGCAGGTTCTTGAACCTTCTGCATCGCGTCCGTGGACTTCAGGCTAAGAATGCTGTAGAGATGGGTGACGATCCAGAGTCTGAGAGGAGGACCTGTTCGCTTGAGAAAAATGGTGAAAGGCGAAGGGGCCGTCTTTGACTGTTGCGACATGTGGCTGTACCCTGGGGTGTCTGGGCTAACAGGCAAAAACACGCATTGGGCCTCTTGGCGAGCCTCAATGGAGGCCGGGGGTGACGACAATCGTGGAAGTGTGTAAAATGAACTTTTCATACAGCGGTGTTGTTGCAGCGCAAGGGGTATACTTTGGTGGAGGTCGTGGCAAGAGGCAAAGAGCACATTTCCTCATGGTCTCTGTTGTTCCATGCAATGGGCGTTGGACATCTGGGGTTTTCTTTGCGTAAGTCATCTTTTTAGTGCAAAAATGTTGGAATCCAGTGAGAGAAAATGAGTTGTGCTATAAAGGAGAGACCTCCCTATCGGGAAGTGAGAGGAATAAGGGTTTTGTGTCAGCTGGATCCCCACCCTCCTCCACCCACTGTGTGAGAATATGCCACGTTCCCCCTCAGAAATGGCAGAGACACCCTCCCAATATTGGCTGTTCACCTGAGGACAGATAACTTTGCATGGTTCAAGGGAGTTTGCGGCTAGATGTTTAAGGTGGTGATGTGTGGAGAAGCCCCTGACCGGGTGATTAAATTTCCCGGTTTCTGTAAGCATGTGCAGCCAACAGGGGGAGCAATCCAAATTAGGTCTGAAAGTGGCCTACCCCGCTTTGATCCTCAGGTGGGCCAAAGGCTGTAGGTACCAGTTCTTGAGCACTTATTTTAAAAGTGGGTACTTTTCCAGATAGCAAGTGTTGCTTGATTTTTGTTAACGGTGTTGTGTGAGGTAGGTGTCCTTCCCATTTTACAGGTATGGAAACTGGGATGCAGGGAGGTTAAACATCTGCCTGGTAAATGGAATGCACTGTGAACCCACGTCTGAGCGACGGCAGAGGCCTGGCACTGCTCTGCCCTCACGTGGGGAGTGCCCTGAGGGAGGGTCTGCTGGGCAGCTCAGCACGGCACTGCCCAGAATGTCTTTCCTGGGAGTTGTGCCTGAAGGGTCCTGACTGTGCCGTGCTAGAGGCAGGAGGGACATCTTCACATGGAAGGACAGCACGCTTATTTATTTCTTTGGGCAGATGGCTGAACTCTGTGACCCCTGAAGCCTGTTTCAGCCTCACGCTGTCAGAAAGCAGCTGTTTGGAAAGAGGCTCTGCTTCATCTGTATTTGAGGGCTGATATTCTGAATGGGTGAGGCTAGGAATCCTCCCTTTGGGAAACAAGAACTGTGCAGAGATTTCGGGAAAGGTAAAATGGGAGATGAGACAGAGTGGCTCCCTGCACGCTCTAGGGAGGGCCACTCTAGCTTTTGCAAGGGTGGCTGTCTCCTTTTGCGAGAAGGCAGCTGGGAAAGTGGGGAACATGGAAAAAAGTGGGTGCTGGTTTCCACACTCCTTTTTGGGCCGCTCCTCCTCCTCGGTCTTGCTTGGTGTGATGTGTTTCTGTACCTATGATAACCCTATAGCAGTTCCACCTGTAGAGGCATGGCCCCTGTACTAAGAGGTGTAGGTTTGTGCTGTTCTCTGACAAGTATTTTGTGGGAAGGATCCCAGCAGCAGCCTGTGTAGCTGTGGGGCCTACAGAGAGGCCTTGGACAGCTCTTCAGTCTAGCCTCCGGGCTGCCTTTAGCACAGCTTGGATGAGGAAGAAAAGGCAGCTCCTGGGTGTGCGTCCTTTTCACTGTATGCTCTCATCTCCTGAGCTGCCTGGGGTTTGGGTGCATTTAGGGCAAAGTTGTGGTAACAGGGAATTGCTGCAGAATCGGGGTGAGTAAGCTCAGTCCTCTCTGAGTTGGAGTGTGGAGAACTGTTCCTGCGCTATGCTTTGTCCTTTCCTGAGGAGTGTCTTCTAGGGAAATGGACTTTGCAGGAACCCTGTGCGCTGCTGAGGAACCTTGGCTGCAGAAATGACTCCCTCGGCAGGTGTGAGTACTAGGCAGGTGTGAGAACTAGGGCCGATGCGTGCAAGCTCTGTGCCTGCCCTTTGGATGACAGCAGGCCATAGGGGGAAGGAGTGCAGTTGTTTTGAAGGCAGGTTCAAAGGGCAAATCACCAGTGGAGGAAGTGGCTGGTGTGGAAATGAAGTTTTGGACACGTATTGTTCAGGCTTGTTCAGCAGTGCCGCCTTCTGTAACTGGGTCGTGTTTGGTATCAGACTCTTTAAAAAATTATTTGAATATCAAGAACCAGTTGCGTATCAAGTCTCTAGCTGAATCAACAGGCAGAGTGCATTTTTTCCAAGAGTAAGGGGAGTACGTTCTGATGATGGTGTCTTAGATGAGAAAGGCCTTTTTCAGGTTCATGATGTTCTGTTTTCAGTGCTTGACTGGTTACAGTCATATAATTGCAGAAAGTGTGTTTTCATCTCCTTATTGTAGAAGATTTTTCTGATTTTAATCTTAATTTTTATTCCAAGAAATTCCAAGTCGTTTTTTTTTTTTTTTTCCAAGTCATTTTGAATGTGATAAGAGAGGTAGTTTGTTACACAGGATCTAGGTTTGTGGCTTTCAAATCCCTCATCAGGGCAACTGATTCAGATTTCTGTTTAAATAGTTGGGTTGTGGGATCCCTGGGTGGCGCAGCGGTTTGGCACCTGCCTTTGGCCCAGGGCGCAATCCTGGAGACCCGGGATCGAATCCCACGTCGGGCTTCCGGTGCATGGAGCCTGCTTCTCCCTCTGCCTGTGTCTCTGCCTCTCTCTCTCTCTCTCTCTCTCTCTCTCTCTCTGTGACTATCATAAATACATTAAAAAATTAAAAAAAATAAATAGTTGGGTTGCATATAAGCCCACATAAGTAGACCTGACAGGATTGCAAACTCTGTGTATAGAAGAGATGGGACGAGCCCTACAGTAGCAGCCCAGGCCTCCGTGCGCAGCCCATGGAGGAACAAACATTTCATTTGGAGTGTTGTCCAGGGGCCCAATGAAGGCGGACACCTAGTTCTGGTGGCCTAGTGACCTCTGCCTCACAGGCAGGATGGCCTGCCCTCTGCACCAGCCACTGTGCTTTGAATCAGCTTGCAGCCTTCAGGAAGTGAAGTGTTTAAAGGCTAGATGTGAAGGTATGTCTGGATGCCAGGGAGATTCGTCCTGAGGTCTGTGCCTTCTGCATGTTTGTGGAGCTGGTGGCAGGTCTGCCCCTGTTGGAGAAGGCTGATGAGAGGCCGCGTGCAGACGGCTGTCTGTGTGCATCTCGGCAATATTGGAGTCAGAATTCACGCGGATGAGAGCTTAGCTGTTACAATGAATTCATTGTTAAAGTCTCATTCTTCAACCTGTTTTTCTCTTTTGGAATTAATTGTACTGCAGTGGGAGTTGTATCTCAAAGCGACAGCTGTATATCGGATGCTGTCAGAGGTGGCTGATAAGATTAGCAGAGACGCTTCCAGTCTTATAGAAATTCTTGTGATGTGCTTTGACTTGCAGTGGTGACCTGCAAGGAAAGGGGCTTGGAGTTAACCTTTCTCTCTCTGTCCAGTTTCTGAGAGACGGGGAGCACAGGGCCTGCAGTGGACCTGGGAACTCTGCCCCAACCCCTGGAAGGGAGGGCGTTATCCCTTGGAGACCTTGCTCTTGAACCCCGTGTAAAGCAGGTACATGGACCCCGTTGTGACCTGGCTGTGGATGCTGCCATGCAGTGAAGGAAGTGATTCCACCTGGGGGATGGCTGCACTGTGCTCTCATCATACACTCTCCCCTGGCGGGGCTCAAAACACAACAAGGTTTCTTCCCAGTTCCCCCTTTGCTGGTCACCGAGAAGTGAGCGCTT